CTCTCTCTCTCTCTCTCTCTCTCTCTCTCTCTCTCTCTCTCTCTCTCTCTCTCTCTCTCTCTCTCTCTCTCTCTCTCTCTCTCTCTCCCTCTCTCTCTCTCTCCCTCTCTCTCTCTCTCTCTCTCTCTTTCTATCCAGATCGCGCCGCGGTTGTACGTGGACGTACATTGTACGTGTCTGGGCATCAACTTGTCCAAGGCGTTGTTCGCAGCGGAGCGTCCGGAGGGCGAGTCCATCTCGAAAGGAATGTCGTTCGCACCAAGACGCGTGTGTCTACAAAATATATGAGTGTGCCTTTACAAGCCCACGCTTTTCGTCCCACAAACTGATCTGTGCACTTCGAACCATATTCGAATTCTACATTGCGCATATGGATTAGTACTTTTGCAAAATCATTATCCGGGTAATCGGTAACCTCGTGCTCTACTTTACCCTGAAAGCACGTCGGGTTTCCGGAAAGCGCCGCTTGATGGCAGTCGTTCTCGAGCACTATTATTGATTTGTCTACATACGTGTTTCTCCCGTTTTCCCTCTTCCTCTCCTGCGCTTCTTCCTCTTCGCTCTTTCTCTATCTCTCTCTCTCTCTCTCTCTCTCTCTCTCTCTCTCTCTCTCTCTCTGTCTCTCTCTCTCTCTCTCTCTCTCTCTCTCTCTCTCTCTCTCTCTCTCTCTGACACTCACTCTCTCATATTCTCTCTCTTACATACTCTCTCTCCCTCACTTCGCTCTCGCTCTTTTCTCTTACACACACTCTCTCTCTGTCTCTCTCTCTCGCTCTCTCTCCCTCTCTCTCCCTCTCTCTCCCTTTCTCTCTCTCTCTCTCCCTCTCTCTCCCTCTCTCTCCCTCTCTCTCTCTCTCTCTCATTCATATAGCCCCATTCAAACTCCTTTCGTACTGTCACTCGGCTGTCATTCGCCGCGATGACACCTGCAAACGGCTCGAGGCCGGCCGCAATGCAGCGTCGAGACGACCAATCAGCATCGTGGAAAAAAGGGTTCAACATTTCGAGATATTCGAGAGATTTCGACTTTCGATTGACGCACACTTTTTTGAAGAAGACACCATGTTTATGCTCAATTTTCATAGTGTTCCCGATGCCCCATGAACTTGTTAATAGTTTTATCGTGTTCAGCAGATCAAAATCTATACAAAACAATGCTACTTTCATTTACACCTTTTTGGGCAAAAATCTTTTACTTATCCTCCTTCGTTCGCGTCGAGAGGTAGCGAACGAACGCCGAGAACCGCCTCGTACGTAGCGCGGAAATGGACAAGTGAGCAGGCGAGCGTAAAAAATGATCGGTGTTCAGAGTTCCAAAATCCTAAAACTAAACTTTATTATGTCATACACAACGACGAGTAGAGTCGGTCCGTTGCGTCGGTTAAGGCGAACGGAGATCTTGCCGCGGCACGGCAGCCTTCGCGTTCACGGCAGAAATCTCCTTATGAATGCGTCGAATCGGAGATCTCGCCGTGACATACGCGGAAATCTTCTTGGCTGATTGAACGGCGCGAACGACAACCGTAACCGATTGAACCTTTATTCCTAGGCGGCGTATGATAACAAATGAGGCGAGATATGGATAGTCTGCGAAAAGAGCGCGAACGTGCCTCTTGCGCGTGAGTGCAGTCGCAGCTCCGCTCTCCGTGGACGATTTCTCGGATTAATAGTATGAGCACCGAATATAGGCAGCAACGAATTCGTCCTGAAACGCGGTGCTAGCGGCTGACTGAGAAAAAGTGCAATTGACCCGAGAAACGGAGCGAAAATTCAACTCCGCCGAGTACACGGTGGCTAGAAGTGATTCGCTCGACTTCGCGGCACCTTGTCCGTTTTTTCTATATGAAGATGAGATGAGTCGCGAAGACGAGCGTTAGTCACGCGTGTGACATGGGTGTGGCACACGTCCGATACGCGTTACGTAAAGAGGCACGCTCGCGGAAATTTCTCGATTCTTTGTCGCTGAGCTCCGCAATGCCCAGTCGACAGAATTTATTTTTAAAGCAACTTAGACCTATAACTGATGCGCGAACAATGATCGTCACTATCGAGGCAATATTGTAGTCTTTCTATCGCCGATTCGGTCGCACGTCTTATTATTTCGGAACTTATTGAAGCATATGTTGTAATAATTCGTGGTAAATATACAGAAGTACACAGTCAGCTCCGATTTTAATGAGACTAGGCTCATTCGACACGTTTTAACGGGTGAACTTGCTTCATATGGAAAGTTACATGTGAGTTTGCGACTTATTGCGATTTTCCACATGAAGCCAGTTGCACCCGTGGACCCTCGAGGGGGGTGCAGGTGAGGGGCCGAAGGCCCCCCCGCACACCCCCTTCGGTGTGTGTGTGTGTGTGTGTGTGTACACATGCTCGGTGCAAACTCTTATCACTAACTTCATTTGTTAATAACTTTTTAACGAACAGTGAGCACGGACTAAAACTTTTTGCATATTACTCGGGAAGTTTATGTTAGTTACGAGGCATGTTTATGTCGTGTTAAGAAATTGCTATTATTGGCGGGAATAATGCACGAATACACGCACTTCTCTAGGCGACGAATGTATTACTGAGCAACGATATCACAAATCGGTTTAGATATGTCAACATCAAGGTCACGGAACACTCGGAATTAGTTACGAGGCATGTTTATATCGCCAAAGTTCGCCGATATAATAGCTTTCCTAACCTGAATTATGATCTGCTTTAACGCTTCATATCTCGCTTCGCGGAACTGAGCGACGATTTTGCCAAAGGAAAGAGTTGTTTCTCGTGCAAAAACGCATCGAATGATCCTAGTCTCATTAAAATCGGAGCTGACTGTGTACTTCTGTATATTTACCACGAATTATTACAACACATGCTTCAATAAGTTTCAAAATAATAAGACGTGCAACCGAATCGGCGATAGAAAGACTATAATATTGCCTCGATGCCGACGATTGACTTTGAGCACCTTTTGTAAACGTAAGCGACCTTAATGACTATGAATGATCTTGTGTTGTAGGTCGTTGTATTTGTCTTAGCAACCTCTATCAGATGGTAGATATAAAAACATAGTATTCCATTTAAAAAACAAAGGTAACTTTTATATCTTTGAAGCAACTTTACCTATAAAAAAATTCATCACTACCATCTGATGACTCTTTCTGTACGATGCAACTTCTGTTGGACAAACTTTTTCTGACACTCATAATTTCGGAAGAGCATTTCGACATTTTACATGAAATATTTGAAATAGCGCGGCAATATAAAATTCAATTTTGATTGAACAGGTGTTCTTTCTTATATAATAAAACAGAACGTGTGTCAGCGTTTGCTCGTTTTCGTTCAAGAGATTTTTTTGTGAAAGATGTACTGCGATTAGGCCGGCCAATTGAGGTCGATGACGACAAAATAAAAACATTGCTTGATCCAACCGCCATTATACGACACAAGAAATCACTGAGAAGTTAAACATATCACATACGAGCATTGAAAACTATTTAAAACAATTTGAATATGTCAACAAACTCGATATTTGGAGTCTATGTCGGTTATTTTTGGGACAGAGGGTGTATATTATGCAATTAAAAACTTACAATATATCTGTCCAATATGCTGTAGCAAGTGTCGTGGCTCGTCTCGTTATGGCTCGTTATGGAGTTGTGGAGCTCGTTATGGAATTATGGAGCTCGTTTTGCAGCTGGTGATGGAGTGTTGGTCTGACTTTCCAGAAGAGCCGTCGAGATGGAAGTTTCACAACGTGAGATGTGACATTCACGAAGTGACGATGCTGACTGCTGGCGCTGAGCTTTTGGAGTGGGAAGAGTGGGAATATTGATTTTGGGCTACGGAAGGGAACCTACGCAATAATCGCCCTCCTACTCTTTCGTTATTCCTCTCGTTATACTCTTTGCCAATATCCCTCTCCGACATATCCCTCCTACGGTAGAAGGGTATATCTATCTTGCGTTGCGATTGGTATTTGCGCTGTCAGTTGGGGTAGTAGCTGATGCTTGGCTTCAGGTTGGCGGATTCAAGAAAGGAGGAGGTACTGTGTTTCAGTTATGTCGGTGACCTGCACGCTGATTCGTTCTCTCCTACTCCTCCGCTATTTCCTTCGTTGCATTCCCTTTCCTAGTCGCCGATATCCCTCCTCGAAGTAAATCGATAAATCTACCTTGTTGCGATTCGTACTCGTGTTATCAGTGGGCTGGATGATGATGGGCGCCCCACTTTCGTCGAGTTGAAGAAGAAGGGAGGGTATAGCGTTTCAGTTATGTCGGTGTTCTGTATATTATTCTGCCCTCCTTTCTCCCGTATATCCTGTTATATCCCCTTCTCAAACGTGATTGGTCGGTTTAAGGGATAGGTGGGAGAACGTTCGACACTAAATAACCCCACTCCTACATACCTCCCGTAGAAAATATTTTTTCTCTAGTGAGTGGGGGACTCCCTACTTTACGTATTCCCATCAGCCGCACCCAAATTTCAGTTGTCTCCCGACAACCGACCGAGTTGGTCAGTTTACTAAAACCCGGTCCAGAACAGGTTGCCACACCCAGTTGCGAGTTGCGAAGGATAGCAACTACTAATTACAAAGTATTATTTTCGGTCGTAAGACAGTTGTGGTTGCTAAAAGAGAGTTGCCTAATTTTTAACTTCTTGGCAACCACAATTTGGCAATCACAATTGTCTCTTACAACTCGAAATAGCACTTTGTAACTAGTAGTTGCTATCCTTCGCAACTGGGTGTAGCAACCTATTTTGGACCGGCCTTAAGTGTTCGAAATTAGAGAGCGGTCGAACCGTCAAGATATGAGAAGCGTGTTCACCGTCGCGTAACATACACTAGAAAGCAAAACGATTTCGACAAGTTTTTTTTAGTATCATGTTACTAGAAAAAAAATTGTCGAAACCGTTTTGCTTTCTAGTGTGTGTTACGCGACGGTGAACACACTTCTCATGTCTTGACGGTTCGTCTCATTTTGTATTTCCGGGCGAACACAGATATAATATTCCGGGGCAAGAGGTGTGGAAACTCACAAAAGCGCAATTGCACAAGTTCGCAACACTGAGCATTTTGTGGTTACGTGAAAGTGAAAGAAAGACTCTAAGATCAAGCATAGGGGCACTCAGCACCGAGTACTGGCGCGGAGACAAGAACTTTGTGAACTCGCTGTTCTCACCAAGAGGCGAGTAGCGAGTGACAGCATAACAAATCAACACTGCACTGCTTGACCTGATAAACACTTGATCAACAACTAATCACCAACACATGGGCCGACACATCATCATGGAGGAATACATGAGGTAAGTTTCTTGGACGGCTGCCGCGAGCGAGCGGAACCGTCTATCGCTTTTCCTCGTTGTTGCATACCGAAAAATAATATACTTGAGCGCTCATTCGTGATTTTTGACATAGTATTATTGCATACGAATTCTACGGTTGGAGTCACAAGTTCTCTTTAAGAACATTACTCCAATGTGTATTCCGCTGTTAGTTTCGCTAACATAGGTAAAATAGTGCGATTGTATCTCTCTATACTACAAACCCGAGTATATTATTTTGACGTGTATAAGTTGAAACTTTACGCATATCTTGTCGTCTTAAATTACGTCGTTTAACGCTTTTAAACGCGTTAAGTGATATCGAAATGCATCAAATAACGTGATTTCAGACGACAAGAAACGCGTAAAAGCGTAAAGAAAGCTTCAGCTTATACGTGTCAAAATAACACACTTGAGTTTGCAGTGTACTTGACCATTTGCTCGGCGAGAAGAAGTAGCGATTTTAACGTGCTGAATATTGTGATCGTCTAGAAATGCTTTAAACTTGCGGGACGTAAAACAGGTTCCTCGGTCTGAAACAATACGTAACGGTCGAATGTTCGGTGTAACGTTCAAAGTAGGATTGAAGTAATTTTATAACATCGGAGGTGATCGTGCTCTTAGTAGCGTATAACTTTATATACTTAATGAAGGCGTCAACGAAAAATTGAATTTTGAACGACGGGCTAACCGAGAGCTTACTTGCGAAAACCGTCCCGAATAAAGAAACGCTGTAAAGATCCGCACCGACAATAATGTCGATCGGATCAACATTCGTCGGATTCGGATCAGCCCACGGCATATCGGATAAGTGCGTCAGACAAGAAGCGTCCGCCGCGCAATTCGGAGTGAGAGATTTTTAAATTAAAGCGATAGTTGAAAACGACAGAGACAACGAATCTCTCCATCAGCTCCATCAGCAATTCTGACACCGGATTTGTCTTCAGTAGGTTTAAATATATAAGGATATGGTATTGGTGTCCGTTTTCAGAACTCCGTCTAACGGCGACCTTTAATGGAATGATGTTTTGACGGGTTTTTGGAATTTTGAGGCATTTTTTGCGGTTTTACAAAAACTGAAGGATGATGAAGCAATCTCAACACCGGATTCGTGTTCAGCTGGCCAAAATATTTTGGGGCATAGTGATCTGATCAAAAGAACAGACCACTTTTTTTTGTATGCCTGTATACTGTATTCGGATTCGATAATCTGAAGCGTGTCCTGGCCTTCTAGAAGATTCCGAGCAAGAATCTTCTGGAAGCTCCAGATCAGCGTCACGCGTGTTGGGCGTGATGTTTTTGTGATCCTACGGTTTTAGTCAAACTCCTTATCAAAACAATGAACGTCAAAATTATTGTCGTGCTAACAATAGCCTCGAACGCGGACACGATTCGCAGGAGGCATCAAAGCCGTCGGGTTGCGGGCTCTCGGGCTAATCAGCGCGTGCCAGATCTGCGAAGGATTAGAATAAGAATTCGTAGATCAACGACCGGTGCGAGTTTTGCGAATTTTCGAAGATCTAAGCTCCGAACAACGGTTCTATGAGTTTGCGAAACTTTATTCTTCGCTCTCGAGTCAAGTAAAATTTCTCAACGCGCGATTGCATTATCGAATCGGTGCTTCGTTAGCAAGCGCTTGGAGTTATTTTGTTCTCATTTTTTTGCGATCGTTAAATTTCGGGGCTTGTCGACGGTCTGGTTTCGGAGAAATTAATAAAGAATTTGTGCGCGCGAGATTCAATGTTCTTGATTTCGCGTTTCGCCCTTCTGCGCGGAAGACATTTCCAAACGCGCCTCCACGCTCTTTTCTGAATAGTTCCGGCGAATGGTTTATGTGTGTGACCGGTCATACGGAAACATTTCTGGTTCTTCGAGCTAGATCTGGGGCGCAAGCGAGAAGGCAATTCGTGTTCTTCTGGAGTGTCGTTGAGTGACTGGCATCGTGACCGATCGTTTCCATGATCGTTTCAGCGCGCTCATTATTAATAATAAAAATTTGAACGATTTCGCCTGCGTGCATTTTCTTACGTCGTGTCTCTCCGGCCGTGCGCTCGAATGTATAACGATTCTTTCTGTTACCGCCGAGAATTTCAACGTAGCATGGAACGCTTTGACCGCGTGTTACGAAAATAAGCGTCGCTTATTGACAGTACATTTGTCAACTTTGCTAAATTTGCCATCGTTGTCGCGAAATTCCGTGAGCGAATTACAGTCGCTCTGCGACAAAGTCAACATCGCGGTCGCATTGTTAAATAATTTGTAATGAACTTTCGAGGAGTTGTGGCACGTTGTCCTCATTCACATTATCACTCAAAAATTAGATCGAGTTACTCGCAAGGCTTGAAACTTGTGATCGAACCGAACCGCCATCCTTCGATGAATTGACTCACTTTCTCGCGACGTGAATTCGGGCTCTCGAGGAGTTCGCTAACGTTTCGTCCGGCAAGTCGACAAATAAAGTTGCGTCTGTTACGCGGGTTCACGCCGCGACTGCATTTGTGTCCGCTCAGTCATCTTGCCCGATTTGTAAGGCTCGTCACTGTTTTAGCGCGTGTCCGTCTTTCGTCCGCGGAAATCCGAGCTAGCGGCGAGATCTCGTTAAACGGCATCGCCGCTGTTTTAATTGTCTCAGTCAGAATCATTCGGCTCAAGAATGAGCCAGAGTAAATACTCTTGTCGAATCTGTCATCAACGGCACCATTCTCTATTGCACGCGGTCTCGGATTCCGACGCGAATGTACTTGTGACGGCGGCACCGGCTGCTCCGTCGTCGTCGCCGGGTGAACTTAACGCGGAAGTGCATTCGTTGCTCGCCTCGACATTCGCGAAGCGTCGCGCATGGGTGGTGTTAGCAACAGCCTGGATAAGGGTCGGTTCAGCATACGGCCGATCGGTCACGGTGCGCGCGTTACTCGATCAGGGTTCCGAGATGACTTTTATTACGGAGAAATTAGCGCAGATTTTGCGCACGAGGCGCCTACGCATGCCGACCTCCGTCTCTGCCGTCGGCTGCTGCTGCGTCAATACTGGCATGATTCATTTTGCAACTGAAGTCTTCGTGTCTCCTCGGAATTCGTTGTCTCTGTCGTTTTCAACTATCGCTTTAATTTAAAAATCTCTCACTCCGAATTGCGCGGCGGACGCTTCTTGTCTGACGCACTTATCCGATATGCCGTGGGCTGATCCGAATCCGACGAATGCTGATCCGATCGACATTATTGTCGGTGCGGATCTTTACAGCGTTTCTTTTTCGGGACGGTTTTCGCAAGTAAGCTCTCGGTTAGCCCGTCGTTCAAAATTCAATTTTTGGGTAAGTTATTGCCGGACCACTCGACGCGAGGTATGATACCGTTTCTCAATCATTTGCGCGACCCGCGGCCGCTCCGCCCTCCGTTAGCGTGTCCGTTTATCATTGTCTCACCGCTCCATCGCTTGATCAAGAGCTCCATCGGTTTTGGGAAGTTGAAGAGCTTCCACGCGCATCAGTACAGTCGCCGGAGGATGAACAATGCGAGGAACATTTCCGCTCTACGTATTCGCGGTCTCCCGACGGACGATACATTGTATGCCTATTTTTCAAGACTGGCCCGCCCATCGTTATCGGAGAATTGCGATGTCAAGCCGCGAAATGTCTTAAGTCTATTACTCGTCGGTCACTTGCTAATTGCGCACAAGGTAAAGAATATGACGAATTTTTACGCGAGTATGAAAGTCTAGGTCACATGTGTCGAGCCTCCGGGTCATCCGAGTCACGCGATCAGTATATTTCGCATTATCTCGTCTTTCGTGCGCATAGTCGCACGACATACTTGCACGTCGTCTTTAACGTGTCAAGTGTCACTTCAAACGGATTTAGCCTCAATGATCATTTGCTAATCGGTCCGAAGTTGCAAACGCAGTTACCTGCGGTCATTCTTCGATGGCGTAATTTTAAATATGTGTACACGGCCAACATCGCGAAAATGTATTGCCAAATTCAGATAGACTCGTGTGATATTAATATTAATTATCAGCGCGTCTTATGGAAAAATTCTCCTCTCGATCTGTCGAGTATCAATTGTTAACGGTCACTTACGGGATGTCTTGCGCTCCGTTTCTCGCTTTACGAGTCACTAAACGATTAACGTCGGACGAAGGCTCACGATACTCACTCGTGGTTCCGACCCTAAAGGATCATCTTTATGTCGATGATGTTCTGTTCGGGAGCGATACTTTTACGTCAAACCCGCGACCAGTTGATTGTGCCTCTTCGTCGCGATGGGTTCGAATTGCGCAAATGGGCCAGCAACTCTTCCTCTCTACTCTTCGATATTGACGAAGAAAATCATGGACTCGCCTGTACATAGGGGCTCATGATCGATGAAAGTATCAAGATCTTCGGAATTGGATGGAATCCTGCACTCGATTATTTTCAATTGAAGGTAGGATTGATAGATAAACTTTCGACTAGCAAGCGCGCGATTCTTTCGGCTATCGCTAAACTCTATGACCCCCTGGGTTGGGTCACTCTGATCGCAATCATTACAAAGATATTTATGCAGAATCTTGAGGTCGTTCCGGATCCGCTTCCCGCGCGGTGGCAAAGTATTTATTTATTTATTTAGGTCTAGCATCTCTCGACAGGTTGCGAATTCCTCGATGGACGGGACACGGAGGCGATCTTCTCTACGCAGAATTGCACGGGTTCGCGGATGCTTCTAACGCCGCTTATTCCGTAGTTGTTTATTTAAAGGTTGTCACGCATTCGAATAACGTGACAATCACTTTGTTCGCGGGTAAATCGAGGGTCGCTCCGCTAACTCCTCTCAGCGTACCGCGACTCGAATTATCAGCTACTGTGTTGCTCGCGTGGCTCCTTGAATTCGTTCGGGTTTCCGCTAATTTTCACAACGTCTCCTGTTTTTGTTGAACGGACTCTACGGTCGCGTTCACGTGGCTTACCTATTTACGCATCATCCATCGCGCTGGAAAACGTTTGTGGC